TATATTTGGTATTTACTTTATTTTGGGTTTAAGTTAATATATTACTTAAATAAATAATTAATATTCAAAATAAATTAATATATTAATTTAAATTAATATATTAATTTATTTAGAATATTAATTATTTATTTATTTTAGTAAGGAGTGATGTTTTAATAAATCATTAAATTACTTCGATGATTTAAAGATGATATTAAAACATCGTAATTTGGGTTAATTACTTATTGGAACGTTTTATTTTGGAAAGATGGATTTAGAAGATTATAAAATCATTATTTTGATCTTTTGGGACATAATCGAGTTTTAGACTTGAGGTTTGACTAAAATTAGTTGGGGTTGATCGAGTTGACGAATGATGACGTTTACCTCGTTTGACTCACAAGGATTTCAACAATGAGATCAAATGGAGATATTTTAGACATTAAGGGATTCAAATTTTTAAGTTTGACTTCAGGTCGGGTCGAGTTTGACCATGGTTGACTTTTGGAGAAATTAAGATATTAATTGGATATTAAATATGTAGGTCTTAGATTAAGACTTATCAATAGTCAATCTACACAGACATATGCATATTCATGAGACTTCCAATTGGATGCATACTTACGTACAAATTTATTTTTAAGCATAATATGATTCACATGGTGATGTGTACGTATGCATGATGTTTCAGTTTACATATATAATACATTATATTTTGCATGTATGTTATTTATGATCAGTTGCATGTTATGTGGTTATTTTGTTTTCAAATAACTTTAGCAGCAATTTCATACGAACATTTTGTGATCAGTTCTAATGGGTGGGTATTTTACCTGTAAGTTACATGATAAGTGGCAATGACCCCATATTGGGTTCCCAGACATATGCAAGTTGGACAACCTAGGAAATGTAGTGAACAAAAGACCCATGTCCAATAAAACAATTTATGAGATCTATTTTTTTTCAGTGTTGCATGTTTTAAAAGTGCATACCATTTGGTACAGAGCTTACAAGTTGATGTATGATACAAAATAATTTTATTCATACAAATCCTAAACTGAATGAGATTTTTAAGCTGAACATAGTATGTATCTCATGGGCAGAAGGTTTTCAGGTTGGACAAATGAAGTTGTCACACATAGAGACTTGTCATGTCCAATTAAGTTCAATATTTATGTTCAAACATCTAAAATTGATTATTTGTAAAGCAACTCGGTATGGGATTATTTCTAAAAATTCCCTTGTGGCCACGGATGTTCAAATACGATGACTCTGGACTATCTGCAAAGCAGGTGGTCACCCTGGGATTAGTCGGCTCGCATAGCGGGTTGGATATCCAAGTTAATCAAAAAAACTGGCACCAAAAAATCCCTAAACCAATAAACATATCGACGCATTTGACATTGAGGTCTCCAAATTTTGAAATCCCTCAAGAACTCTATCAATTTTTCCTAATCCATGGTTTGATTTCGGCACACATCATCAAGACATCAACGAAGTGATTCAACTCTTTCCTTCAAGTTTTTCGATTCCAAACTCAATCTGTTCAAGTTCATTAAACGCCCAAACCGCCTAAACCGGCCAGACCACACTGCCTTTTCATGGTCTGGTTTGACCGTTCTGGACACTTATTGTCAAACCGCTCGGTTTGAAAATTTGAGGTTAAATCACCCAAACCGAACCGCTAACACCCCTATTTATAATTGATCTATTTTACTTGCCTTAAAGATGATTTGTTTTAAGAATGCAAGTAGGGTATGCAAAAGTAAGCTCG